ATTAAAGTATTTCCCCTCCCCTCTGAGTTATATCAATAAAAAAAAGGGTTGAAGATTTACCTTCACCTATCCCTTAGTCTATGGAACCTTTAGGGCATCGTACATGACCTGTCTACTGTCTTTCTCCATTCCTTTCTCTTTTGCCTTGAACAAAATTTTGTTTAACGAGAGGCCTGTCCATTCTTTGATGTTGTCTTCCCATCACTTTTTCTGTCTGCGTCTTCTTCTTTTTCCTTTGAAAGATTACTAGATCTAAATTTTTGTCTCTCTCCCCCATTTTCTAGATCTAGCCTAAGTTTTTCTAAGTTTATATTTAGCCTAAACTTACCAAATTTAAGCAATGAAGTTGCCATCTTTAAATAAGTTTGTATAAGCCAGTGTGTCACATCTTTTGACCCCTAAGATTTTCACTTTATATGCCCACTAAACATGATCAGAAATGGTCATTTCAATGTAAACATTCTGTTCATACATATATATATAATCATATATTAATTTCACTGTTGAGTGTTCAGTGTTGATTAGACTTAAATTTAAGCATATTTTTCTCCACTTTCTAAATAGATCTAGATTTAGTAAAGTTGCATAAGTCAGAGCGTCAGCACATTAAAAAAAATTAACTACATCCAGAAACTAGTTGAAGAGTGATAGTATAGCTTCTAGATAGTATGACTCTGAGACTGCTGTCTTTACTCATTGTTCCATGTGTCATGCTAAACATAGAGTGTTGAACTACAATCTAGAATATAGGCAGTCAAAATATTTTGTTTCTTTTTAATGAATATAATTTAAGGGGCAATAAAGTTTAACCATAGATCTTCATTTGTCTTTACTTTGTTTACTGGCAGACATTTCCATTCAAGTTGTTGACATTTTGATCTATAACCTTTTCATCTTCCAATCAATTTGAAAGTAAACACAGCATGATTGTTAGGATGTTAGTGGTATTTGAAAAAAGAAGCCTATGATAGGCTAATAGTCTTTATTACTGCTAAACATTTTGTTATTTATTGGAATCTTATTTTTCTACTTAAAGCTTTGCTTCACATTGTTTTTACATGTTTGGGATGTTCCTTCAGATTTTAAAATTATTACTTGGTACAAGCAGGAGAAAAGTGCATACCACACATCTAGGCAGCCTTCCATATAGTTTGTGAACAGTGAGATATAAACTACATGTTTATCTTCTGTATGTTTGTGTTAACAGGAGATGGCTGTTATGAAACAAGTGGTTCTCAGTCTGTCTGAGAGAAAGTTCGACCTGAACAAAGCCAAATCCAGAGACTTCATGGAACCCAGTAAATCCGCCTCTACTGGTCACAGATTTAGAAATGACTTTGAGATTCATGATGACCAGAATGTTGTCAAGCCAGGTTCTCTTCATTTAGTAAGTAGTTTGACCCATTGCTTTGTACTTCTTGCTACAGGGACAGGAGTTAAAGGATTGAACTAATTTATTTTATTTTTATTTATAACACTAAAAGGGAAGGCACTATGATACTTATCACACTTTCAACCAAACTGTCAGGCTCTTCTGTTTTTCCTATGCAAACTGGAAAGAAAAGCCTTCACATTCTTTGCTGCCATCTATTCTTTTGTTTTTAAAGTCTTACTTATTTCCTCTTTTTATGAGAGATGTCTGAAAGTAGAAGTATTCATCCTGATTATACTAAATTACAACTATATATTCATCCTGACAACACCTACAATATACCATTATAATATGAACCCAGTGTCACCAAATGATGCTAATTTGAACTTTTAAATTGCCAACTAACTAAAAGTCACAAAGAGAAGAGCTTAGACAATTTGATTATGTAATGCTAAAATGTGCAGAAAAATGATCAAGCAACTTTTTCTTCCTTTATTTTGTACACTGGATAAATAAAAAAGGGCTGATATTGTTTACGCTTTCTGTCATGTATGAAATATGTATAATACTAATGTAGTGAGGGAGGATAAAATTTACCGGGAGGCCAAACCTGACTGAGCACTGATGCGCAAAGAATGAGTTGACCTCTGCCTTCGAAAAGCTGCCAAATCAACTGATTTCAAAGGAAGAGTCAATGTGGCCACTGTCCCTTTCTGCTGGCACTCTTTGCTGAAGCTTGGTTCGGCATCTACTTCTTGATGCCACATTGTGTATTCCTTTTGTACAAGTGTCATTGTTTTTGTGTATGCCTGCAGGTTTATTATCTGTAATAAAAGTTTGAAATCGGCCTACACCTTGTCTTGATCATTTATTCAATTCTGCCAACCCACCACACTAACTGTAATAAAAAATATATCATAATTTCTTAACATAAAGTATAAGTTGTACTTTTTCAAAAATTGAAATATAATTAGAAATAATGTCTAAACTACAACTCTATCTATCTATCTCTATATATATATATATATATAAAAATCCTAAAATTTGTAAATCAACATTTAAAATATTTTGACACATTTTGTGTTGGTGTTCTTTTCTTTGAACAGGTCAAACCCAAATCACCAGCTCGACCCAGACCAGACAGACGAACTAACTCAACAAAGTTTTCTAAAGTTTATGGTGTAGCCAAGTCTTGAACAAAGTCTTGTCACTTATACATTTTTTTTTTAGAATTTATTTTTTATATGGACTTTAAAATTTTATTTGCACCTGTATGAAAAAAGGAATTCAATTTTTTTTTTGTAGTCTGTATCATGTATAGAACGTATTGCCCATCTTGGATTTCTAAATGTCTTGTCATTAGCTTTATCTAGGAAATAGAAAATGACTCACAGTCTAGGTGGAGACATACATAACTCTTTCTCTTTACTACCAGTGTTGTTTTGATGTGGACCTAGTGCGCAGAAGTTATCCTCGAAGTTTTAAAATTTAAAATTTTGTTTTCTTAAAACTTGAATAGCTTCTCTTTGCTAATCATCCAGAATTTCCTTTTTTCAATGTGTTTTTTTTTCCAAGTAGGATGTTTTAAAAAAGTGTTTTTTTTTTTTTGAGAGGCACCATTTTCTTTAGAATGTTCTGAGTGGTAGCGATATGGTATAATGATCTCAAGACAATCATTTTATATGTCTTTAAAATGTGTTATATTTAGTTTTGTGAAAATATGAATAAATGTCACATAAAGAATTAGTTTTTATTTATTTGGATAATAATATATTTGCTAGATCTGGTCTAGATCTGTTGATTAGTCTATAGTTGGTCAGTTTTCTTTGTTCCTATGGTAGTTACATTTATAATAATGCTCAAGATTTCCATTTTATGTGCTTTAAATATGTTATGTACAGGTATATAAGGATTTGTCACAATATGGATAAGTATGATAAAAAAATTTTTTTTTCCATTTTGATCAAAATTTTTTTTCCTGAATCTGGTCTAGATCTGGATCTTAAAAATAATTTGTGCTATTTAAAAGGGACATGCATTCTCCTTTAATTCTATGCCAAATATAACATTTTCTGATTACAAAGAAAAGGCTTTATGACCTTAAAGATTACTTTCGCACTCCAAAAAGGTGAACAAATTAATTCTGTCCAAATGTGGAAAATTATTCAGGAACGTTTTAAGACTAGTGTTGATAGGTATTCAGTGTTGCAAAATAAAATCAAACATAATCCCATAAATAACAATCCACTATTCAGAAAGTAGCATTCATCAGAAGAGGATACTTAGAATAGTCTTCAATAACCTTTGACAACTTTAAAAATAAAAAAATGATGAATGTCTCAATATCTAGCTTTTGTCTGTTGTAAGATGTACTAGTCTATTTATGTATCTCTAGAATGCTATATTTGGGCTAAGGTAATCTCACAACAAATTGAGAGTAGCCATCAGAGATAAGTAGACTGAAATTAAAGAGAAAAAAAAGACTCTTAGCTCAGTCCTTTACTTCTCCGCCAGGACACCCTGAGACCTAGTTTTGAAATGAAATAATTTTACTTTGTAGATGTAGCATGTTTACTTCATAGTATGGGAAGAACTGGTTAAAACTGGAGCAAATAGTCTCACATAAACAACTTGTGCAATGAGTGTTGATGTAATTGAGAAATATCTTTTATTTGCTAAATGATTATGTGCATGCATGGCTTAGACTCTAGAAGGTTGGCACTGCAACTACAAAGTGTTAATTCTGTAATGATTACTAAAGCAAGTCACTTGCAGTGGGTCAGTAAGATTTCAAAACATAAATAATCTCACTTCTACACAATGGTGCATATAGTAATAAAAACAAACTGTGATACTTCATTTTCATTTCTTGTTATTCAATGTATATTTTACATTTTATATATTACATTTTTTTATTCACTGTATCTGAATATCCATGAATGCTTTAAGAAGACATAGTTTGTGTATCAAAATAATAAAAAAAAATTATTAAATACACACATTTTTACAAAAAAAAAAGAATTATTTCTTTGCTTGGAACAAGTATGTAGGTCAGGCTGTACTCATGTGTTGAGAACTTTCTCTGAGCTTGTAGTTTGTCACTCAATGTCCACCTAATCTGCTTCACACAACTGTGATTGAGGCAGTGGGGTTTGAGATATTACACTTGGTTGTAAGAGTGGTTGGTTGGTTGGTCGGTTGGTTGGTTGTTTGCAAGCTTGCTTGTTTTTGTTTAAATGGATTTAAATTCTAGATTTATTTATTTATTTTTTAATATTTAGGATGTTACTTGGACATAGAGGGACTTTTGAATGTGTAAAATTTGTAACTCAATGCTAGATAGAGAATGAAGTCAAGATTACATAGAATACATGAACAAGTTGATTAACTTTTTGATTAGAACATATTCATTTATTATCATTTTCATACAATGACAGAACAAAATATTATGGAATAATAATTAAATATATGAGTACAGTTTATATACCATAGATCATCACAGAGAGAAAATAGGATATTGATAATATTTTATAGTATATCAAAAACATAAAATATTAGGTGCCAATAAATAAAGAATCTTACAAATAATTTTTTTTTCAAACCAAACCAAATAAAGAAAAAGAATACATTTTTTTTATTTTAATAGTTTGAAAAACAATATGCAATGAAGGCTAACTTAATATCTAAAAACAAAGGAATGTGAATTTAGTTGCAAAACTGTTGTTAGCTGCAAACAATGGATTACATTCTAGATGTTTTAGGCTTGTAATACAAATACAGGTATTAATAGTTAATAAATAAACCAAGTTAAGTAGCTATTTAAGTTAACCTGTCAATCTAGGAACCATAGAAATGAAATAACAGTTCACTCTTACAGTTAGCCAGAGTTTTGGCAAGTGAAGACAAAATTGAAAATTTAGCACTAAATGAAAGACAGAAACACCAACATGTCATGGTCTTAAGAGCATTGAGCTCAATTTGAACTGTTTTCACTCAGGAAAATCAATACATTTTTTTTCTGCTTCATTTGTTTACTACTTGCAATTAAGTGACTCAAAAATAATGTAATTAAGTAAATACTGGTAGCTCTGTCACTATTAATTTTATAACTTCTGCCTAGGGTTTTGAGATCTAGATCTCTACTATAATATCAAATAGCATTTCCAAGGACATGTTGTAAAACAAGCAGTGAATAGGATCTTTAAGTCATTGATGTTTGGCTGTAAGTTTTAACTCAAGGAGATAGTATTCAATTGATTTAGAAACATTTCTAAGTTTTCCTATTTTTAACTTAAAATGAGTTGCACGCAAATAGCAATGAATTTTTTTTTAAATCAACCTTTTCTGTTCAAGAAGTATATAAAATATTGATTATTGTATTTTTACAAGTCAATGAAATGACAATTAATGTATGTTGAAGATAAAACATTTCAATTATTTATCCACTTTGATAATTCAACCACCTGTCATTCTTTTATTGTAAATGACTTAAAGTAATGAATATACACAGAATACAATTGTATAATAAAAATGTCCAATAAATAATCTGAACAAGATTATGTGAGCTCCTGAATAATAAATGCAATGTAAACAAAAATGTTGAAAGTACCACAGTATAACAAGTTCTCAATATATAGTATTTTGATACAATAATGTTTGACATTTTATTTTTGGTTATTGAAAAGAAGTGAACTATCTGTAAATAACATGAGAATCTAAAAAGTACCTGTTAATAACATGAGAATCTAATATCATTGATACAACACAAACTACATCCTATCAGTACAAATAATTAACACTGAAAAAAAAAACAAAAAAAAACAACAGACCAGTCACCTGAATGGTGCCGTGAAAACCTATGCCACCAGTCAGGAAATGTTTCAAGAGGAAGACCATGTTGTCTTATTCCATAAGAAACAAAAAATCTAAGACACTACATTGCAAAACATATTTACACAAGTTGCTAATGTTGAAATGATCATATCTGAGAAAGTAGTATAGCCAACACTAGGGGGATAGTGGTGTTCTTAGTAAATATTCTTAGAAGTAATCAAATAGCTCCTCTCTCACCTTACAAGTGGCATGATGAATGAATTGGTTGAATGACTTGATTGCAAGAGGCTCAAGTTGGGATCTCCATAGAGTCTGTGATTTTCTATTTGAAAAAAATGTATTCAAGCTGTATTCAACAACTAATAGATACCACTTTTAGGACTGCAATAGCGAAAAAAAGGACCATTAAACATGCTAAAAAATGATAGCAATTAGAGATCCACTATACAAATCATACAATTCAAACCACTGTTTTAGACCTTTTTACAATGCCTTTATTCAACTTTTAAATTCTTCATGGTTTTAAAAACCAAAAACCTGAATGATCACATCTCAAAATCAGTTCTTAAGGTTTTCCTAAGAATTTTGACAGTTTATTTGAATCTTTGAAAAAGTTTAATGGCCACACAGGGAATAATTTTAAAAAATTTAAATTTGGTCTTGAGATCTAGACAATCTAAAATAATCTAAATCTTGGACAAACATATGTCAGTGGGTATTCCCGCATGTCTTCAGGAAAGAGTTTTATAAATAAATAGATAAATAAATTCTAAGTCTGGATCTGTAGGTCTATCACCAAACTAGAATCTTCTATACCATATACCTAGATACAGTATTCTAGTCTAGACTGCTGTCTTTTAATGTTGCCATCTGGATTTATATACCAAACTAGATATTTATTTACTAATATGCGCTTAACCAGGATTTTTTCAAAACGGGAGGGGGGGGGGGGGAGAAATTGAGGCAGGGTAAAAAATGTTCCATCTTTTAAAATCTATCAGTCATAACTTTCATAAAAAATTACTTTTGGACCCAAAAGTTCACTGGCATGTTTAGCTTTGTAGAGTAAACCTAAATTTCTATTTCAAGCAGTGTTTACGAAAGTGACACTTGGTTTAAAGAACTGACTGTATTGTCTACATGTATTTTTTGTTCTGAATGACAGAAGACAGAGCAATGACACACTATTGCAACTACATTTCATCACTAGCTATCAAAAGGCTAAACCTGTCTTAAAGCCAGATTTATGACTCAAAGGTTGGAGATCAACTGTCACCAGCAACTCTTGATGTATCACCAGGAAATCACACACACACATATAATTATATATCACATTGTACTTGGTAATATCATAATCCAAACAATAAATACTACATATAAATGCTGACAGGTTATGTCCTTGGAAAACTGTTGTCAGACATTGATATAGATTACAATGATTCCCCTGCTTAGAAAAACAGTTGTACATGATGCTAACAGCTGAGAAACTCTGTCAATAAAAGTATCCCACTACTACTAAACAAATATCATCATACACTTTGTGAGAAGCACAGGATGAGCTATTGACTTGATTAAATGACTGAGTCATGTCCCAGTTTGAATGAAAAATAAACTCCCCTTGTGTGAACACTCAGGCCTGGAAAGTGTAAAGGTGACCTACTTCTGACCCCAACAGTCAATGTAAGCAGCAGAATGACATCAATTAAATGATCTTTTATTTTCATTTACAATGACTTGAAAACATTCTTAAAGAAATTCCTTACAACCAAACTAACATGCAAACATAAAGATATTTGGTTCAGAAGCCAAACACTTAATGACTCAGCCACCAAAACTCTTATATGTCAATGACACTGATGAACTATCTCATGTTAGTAATGAATTATTACAGTCAGTTTCTTGATGATATGTAGAATGTGCAGCTCAAGGAACATGCTGGATTTCTTTAATAGTAGTCAGCAAAGATCCCAACAGACTGGCTAAATGTGTGGCCTGCTTCATAAGATATTTCATGTCTGGATCACTGATAGCTTTCCCAATGGCAGTGTTGGCAGCATTGACTGTTGACTTGAATGCATTGGCAGCCTTCACCAGCTGTAGTCCTAGATGTTCAGCACTGTCAGGGGAATGTAAGAGCAGCATAGTGGCCTGGGAGTGAAGGAAGATGTAGGCCAAGGTGTGGGTGGCCTCCTGAAGGCTGGACAAGAATGTCCCTCTACTACTGCTGGCACTGCTAACCACAAGTTTACAGTCTTGGACAAATTGTTTAGTCTGGGACTGAAGCTCAATAACACACATGGTCAACTGGACAGAGTTTTTCTCTATACGGGAAGTCTTCAGAGATTTCATGGTGGCTTTCAGATCATTGAGCAGAGTCTCTACATCCTGAATAGCCAAAGATTCATGTCCTGCTGTATAGCTGTGAGAGAGGACCTGTTGGACAGCCTTGCTAACACCATTACTGACCAAATGAAAGCTGGGTTGCTGGCCATTAGGTTTGGACTGAACAGGGGTGGGAGGTGATGGTGAAGGGGCTACACTGCTGTTTAAATCTGAAACTCCATTGATGACCAAAGGTTGCCTCTCAAGTGAAGCAGGTGAATTGTCCCTGGAGTAATCCTCTGGTATTTCTAACAAACCACTGGCTGGTTCACTCACCCAGCTATTCATATGTTCAGCAGGCCTCAAGCTAGCCTGGTGCCAGTGGTCATCTTGTGATAAATGATCTCTGTCCCTGATGTGTCCAGTTATGGGAAGCCTACCAGTCCCAATGTCCTGTTGATTCCATTCTGCAGTCTGGCCAATGTCATCCAGATTCTGTCTCATAGTGTCCAAATTTTTGAAACTCTGATAGGTTTCCTCAGCCTTATCATCTGATCTAACACTAACAGACATGGATACTGGCCGCCACATTTTGATTGTAGCATAAGGGTTGGCAGTCAGCTTCTCTCTCATCTGGCTCATAGCCAAGTCGTCTTTAGTTTTGCTAGATCCCTTGCCAGACTTGGAGGACTTGGCCACGTTTGGACTTCTGACTGCACCATCTTGGGCCAAATCTGATGGAAGAGCTTTAAGAGGCCCAAGTTTTTTAGACTTTGACTGAAATAAAAATTTTAAAAAGTTAAATGTAGGAAAAACATTTTAAAACTCAAAGATACCCCCCCCCCCTTCAACAAAACTAATCTTTCAACAAGGAAATGATTTAAGGCAGTGATGCTTAGTTGAATGAATCTCCAATGAAACTAATAGTCTGCGGGTCATTATGAACTATGGGGACATTTTTCAAGGAGACAGATAGCACTGCATTGCAGCCCAGATGTGTGTAAACGATCTTAAAGTGTAGATAAACAACCTAACTTTGTTGTTGAGCAATGAAACCAGAGTTACAATGTCTTACATCACTAGAAGAAGATAGACAGGCTACCACAAAGCTCAACAATAGAATTGTGAATGGAAAGGTGGGGAGACACACAGAGCAGCACTAAAGAGGAATGTAGAGTTTGAAATAAGCTTGTATCTGGTGAGAGTCAATTCAAACATTTTGAATTGAAGTGCTTCAAAAGGCTTTAATTGTTAGCTTGTTCAATGTTATAATCTAACTGGAATTAGTTCATCTCACTACTCAGTCTCCGAGTGAAGCAAACTTCATTAGAAAAAATAATTCTTTAGAGCTTAAGAACTAACAAAGCTGTGACAGTATCAGATATTTAAATAGTATCTACAGAAGGTCTGACTAGGAGAATACATATCTAGAATTCAAAGTTTCGCTACGGAAAACCTTCAAGCACAGTTTCCCTTTTTTTAACTTTGTAGGAATTCCAGTCCAGAAGAGACAAATTTGTCTTTATGTTTGAAACTTCTCGACTTCCTTATCTAGATGTATCCAATCTTTGTAGTCCCCTTACCAGGATTCTAGAACAAAACCCTCCTGCCAGTCTGTAAAGAAATGTTTGTAGTTGGCAAGAACCTTGAGTAGGCCTAACCCGTCATTGTACTCAACTAATAGGCCTACATCTATTTCTTTAAGACCTACAATGTGACGCTTTCATACCGCCCCCTATTTTTAACTAATAAAACTATTCACAGCAAGTAAAAGAAAAAAAAAAAAGACAACAGATTCTGTCCACATTCTCCTAATTGTTATGCTCAATATGTTTGCCTTGAAGTAGGCTGCTACAGGTTTGAGTACAACTTGTGCAGAGATTTCACATCAGAAAGTGTTACAAAGTAAATATTTGGTTCGGGAAGAAATGAACTGTCACTGGTCTTAAAAGTTTATTTGATAAAGTCTAAAGAATGAGTTCAATTGTAATAGAGCCTCTCCGTCACTCCCCCCGCACTCCACAGGGGAAACAAAGTGACACCCTCAATGACTGGGAGGTTTGGAGGTTTACTTCCCAGTTATAAGAGATAGGGAGACAGCAAGAGAAGGCTCAGGGATAGAAATACAAAGAGAGAACAAGAGAAAAGTAAGAATAAGAGGGACTGAATATACAGAGAGGGGGAGACAGAGAGAGACAGAAAGAGAGAGAGAGACAGAAAGAGAGAGAGAGAGACAAAAAAATGGAGAGAGAGAGTGAGAGAGAGAGAGAGAAAAGATCTATTTCTTTATAATGCCCAGAGCACCATGATTAGTCTAATGTGAACATAGTATTCCATACAGTTCTACTCCTTTGGACATGTAGACACCCGCGACTATGTTTCTTTCAAGTCTTTCCTAAACTCCATGTTCTCATCTAGGTGGTACATCGTTTCTCGGTTCATTTGTGACAACCTTCTTCTCATGAACAATCATCTAGCATTAAATCTTAGGGCTTCATCAGCACTAACCATCAATTTAGACAAGGATTAGTCAATGACATGGACATGTCCTGTCATTGTACAGGAAACAAAACAAATAGAATGACATCAAATGAATATATAAATAGGCATTGCCATTGCATTTATTTATAACTTCTTCCGCTGTACATAGACTTGTTTAAGACAGTCTTCAAGATGATTTGTACATAGACTTGTTTAAGACAGTCTTCAAGATGATTTGTACATAGACTTGTTTAAGACAGTCTTCAAGATGATTTGTCATAACTTGAAGATAAGGTGGATAGATTAAATAGACACTCATTTGGGCTGACCTCTTTGTGCCTTTACCCCCTTGCATGTAGACCTACTTGGTTCACTAATATTTGGATATTATGATAACAATGATTAGTTAAACCAGGGATTGGAGCCACATAAAGCTGGTGAGCGCAATTCAACAGCTTTGGTTCCTATTGAAACTCGTTTAAGGAGCCGCTGTAGGCGTATTATATTTTAACTTGTAAAACTTGAAATAACTTGTTTGTAAAAAAAACAACACAATATAACATTTACTACAACATAGACGTGAATTAATTGAATAATTTTATTTTAGAAGCATTGCTTAAATTGTTGTGTTTACCATATTTCTTTATAAAAAAAACTCCACACATTTGGATTCAATGGAAATGTAACAGATTCCTAGCCAGTTCACGCCCCACAGTTTAAGAAGCCCCACAGTTTAAGAAGCCCCACAGTTTAAGAAACGCTGCAGGGCTAATCTTATTAAATATTTCCCTGTGATGTGGTGCATAGATCGTATTGATAGTTCAAAATAATCTGACCTGCTGGTTACACTTCACTGAACACGTCAAACTAGATGTTACAGATGACTTCAACTCAATGCATGTAACCTCTGCCTTCTTTTTTCCCACTCTGCTTTTATGCAAGCTGTTTCTAGTCTAGAAATTCTTGGCAGTAAGTTCCCCGTTTCACTTCTAGTCTTTTAATTTCAGGGCTTGGGGGGGGGGGGGGGGAAGGGGAGGGCTGAAGGAAGAGGCACAAAAGAAAGAAAACAGCGATGTTTTAAAAAAGGGAACTGACAAAGTCACGTGATCTTTGTTGTTGACATGTCGAATGAATGAAATGATGAA